CGTAACGTAACGTACGTAACGTAACGGTAACGTAACCGTAACGTAACGTAAACGTAACCGTAACGTAACCGTTAACGTAACGTAACGTAACGTAACGTAACGTACGTAACGTAACTAACGTAACGTAACGTAACTAACTAACTAACTAACTAACTAACAACACACTAACACACACTACACACACACACACACACACACACACACACACACACACACACACACACACACACACACACACACACACACACACACACACACACACACACACATCGATGTTCATCCTAAAAACCTTCAGGAAAAAAAACTCCTATTAATCAATGTGACGTGCAACCAAATACGTCTTCACTCTCTGTGAGTCAGTAATCGCCTTCAATGGAACGGCCTTGAAAGAGATTCTGGAGCTGTGTGAGGACGTGCAGAGCAGCTCTGTCTTTGTCCACTGATCCACACCAGGGACAGCACTGCAGCAAACCCAACCAGGACAGAGCCATGGCAATAAAGCAGCCTGCAAAGAAATACAATAATAACCCATCCATCCATTGAATGAGATCGGTCCCTAGGCTGCCTCCCAATCTTTAAGTTTTCTTTCTCTCCTGGACTCAAAATAATTATGGGTTGGAGAAATCAGGAAGGAATTTACAACGTGGTAAATCCGTAAGTTGAAAATCGACTTGTAGGCTGAAGTCAATGGAAAAACTAAGAGCCTTTTAACTTTAAATACCTAAATAACTAGCAAATATTAACGTTTTCACTGCATGCAACAGCAAAATGAAGAGTTAAGAAAAGGAAGTGTAAAGTATAATAATATTAATTAATAATATAATAAATAAATATAAATAAAGAGAAATAAGCTATGAAGAAGCAGAAAAATAACATTAATAATAATGAAAGAAGTTAAATTAAATGGGAAATGGATGAAAAGGTGAATTAATCATAAGAGGAAGAGATGTGTGTGTGTATATGTACATATGTGTGCATATATATATATATGTATTTATTTATTTGACTATTTATCTATGTATTTACCTATTAAACAATGAAGTATACCTATCTTATGAAGCAAATCATGTATAAATACAACACCATATGCATACATAAAATGTAACTGACACTGTAATCCCCCTACCCCTACCCCCTCTTCATGTTATGTCCTTTCCTATTTGTGATGTGTGTCCTTGTCCGTGTGTTTTTGTCTTTTGAAAATGTTTAATAAAATATAAATGTTAAAAACAAAAAGAAGTGAAGGAGGATGAACAAAGGAAGAAATGATCTGTTAAGATTGACATAATGGAGACAATTGTTTGTATATAAAAACAAAGACAGTAATGTGACACCAGCAGCTATTTCAACCTAGAGCAGCGTATTACAATTACAAATGAGTCCTTTTGAAATTAATAATCTATGAAGTCCTACAAGTAAATATCTGTTTTGCCTTAATGGCAGCGTGACCATCTGTGGTGTGTTTACTTTGCACGTGACCCCTCGGAGAAAAAGACACACAGAAGCTATAGCAAATTTGCAAACTGTGATTCCCAGCATGCACGGCTGGTGTGATGACTTTCATCGATTCACACAGACTTCCAAAGTGAGGCAGGAGTCATTCAGCAAGTCCTGCACATCTGGTGCGTCAGGCTTGTGGAAAAGAAGCAGGAGGTTCTAAATCTAGACATTTGACATCTGTATTCTGAGATTTGAAATTGTACATTAGAAATAAAGTGTTACTGGAAGAAAAAACAATGACATTATTGAATTGACTGTGTTACAGTTAAACCGACAAGTCATGCCTGTGAAATTACCACGTTTGAATAATTTTGCAAATAAAGTTTATAAATGACCTTGTTTGGGTCTTTTAACTATAATATCTCCCCCCCCTCGTCTTCCTCCAGGCCCCCCAGCTCGGCACTCTGATGGGCGTGTACCTGCCGTGCATCCAGAACATCTTCGGAGTCATCCTCTTCCTCAGGATGACCTGGTTGGTGGGAATCGGAGGCGTGGTCGGGTGCTTCATCATCGTTTTCATTTGCTGTTCCACCGTGAGTGTGTTTCCTACCTTCATTTAAGCCTCATGTTGCAGGAAGGCCTCATTAAGGAGTGACCTTAAACTGATGGGCGGCATATTATAAGATACATGGCAGCAGATACAGCTGTACAGTAATGAGCTCTATAGTAGTAAAAGATACCAGATGTTCACTTTGAATACCTTCATGGGGAACAGAACAAATCTAAGGAGCTGTGATACACACTAGACAGCTTCAATGTGTCTATCATGAGAAGTTTACTTTACCCTTTATTTCCCGGCTTTTGCAAGATTTGTCAAATAGTTAACTCACTGGATTAGCCCACAAACACCTTAGCAATTTGTCATTTTATTGATGAAAATGGTATTTAAGAAGACAACTTGATATTTCATGTTCTACTGCTTAATGATCAATATTTTGGCCAAAAAACTAACACTTTCCCGTCTTCTCTTTGGAGACAATAAACACCACAGTGCCAAGCTTGCAGTCCTTATTAGTTTGTCAAGCCTTTTCCTATCTGAGAGTTAACACCCTTACAGAATACTGCGAAGAATCATAAATACTCTATTACCGTCTCTAATTGCAGATTCTAAATTACATTAGTGTCCTCAGTAGGTATAGACAACCCACTGTACAGTCTTGGTTAACATTTATATGTATCCTTTAGTCCAAACCCCACTGAAGACGTTAATCCTGGAGAAATGTTTCCCAATGATGTACTTTTTAATGGCTGTGCAATTTCTGAAAACATCTGGTAGTTTTCAACAAACGCTACTCAACAGAAGTAAATGGTGCATTTGATAGGGAATACATTTAGCTGCTAGTGAGTATTTAAAAAAGCAGATGGTTTATTGAAATAGTAGTCTTGAAATAAACTTCAGTGCCCATATTCATGGTTATGAAAGAAAATGGCAATACTAAAAATAAAACATGCTAGTAGGATCAATGCATTGCCGGATTGAGTCTTTTGATTGGATTTGAAAATATTGAGTATCATCAGACATATCCTTTATATTAACAGTTTTTTTAAACGCACACACACACACATGCCATTTAGAAACCATTTTAAGTAGCCCAGACTCTCAGAGGCTGATCCTTCTCAGTGCGACACCACTGTCTGTACAACTAATCAGCTCTAAGTAGAATTTACCAAAACAACAGTCTTCATGTTTTTCACGCACAACACACTCATGAAAAAGAGTTTAAGAGTTTTATTGCTTTACCCGGCTGAGGTGGTGATATAGATCTTGCTGCACACCAAACAAGTCTTATGAAGGCAGCATTTCAAGGAAAGATGTTTTTAGTTGTATCTTATTTGATCAAACTGTCTATTGGTGTAGTAAAACATTGTTGTAACTGCATTAGCTACTGTATGAAGGCTTAAAACAAACAAAGTCCCTTATAAGACTCAAGGTTTTTCCTTTACATAACACTTTTAAAAGCGAAGAGGCACCAAAGTGCATCACAAAGAGAGACCTACTGTATATGAATATGCCTACAAGCATGAAGACATAGATGTGCTTGGACTAAAACAGCATTAAAACAGAAGCAAAGTTAAAACACAATTTAGCTTTGCAGATATAAAGAAACGACTGCTCCATGTAAGTTGAAAGGCGCTCTGCATTGGATCTGTGAAAAGAACAAAATGGAAGATGACACACTGTGATGTTCCCTGGTTCCCATTAATGTCAGTAGCTGTCGTGTCAGAGTGACTTTGGTGTTGGACTGACACCTAGTCGTGGCCTTGAGACTCAAATGACAAAACACACTGTCCCACAGGATCGACAGCGCTGCCGCCATTGATCTGAGTGGCTGCTACAAAGTGATCATGTTTGACTTGTTTCATGCCATTGATTGTCAGGGAACATATCATATGCCCAGCTTTTTATTTATTCAGGAGAGCGGAGGTGGATAGGAGACCATGTGTCAAAGCTCTCTGTTCAATCTGATTGTAGCTTTTCAATGTAAAGTGCAACATAAAACCTTTCTTATGTCATCGTACATGGCAGTTTAATTCAAAGTGTGTCAGCTGTCAGGGTGTTTGTGTGCTGTTGCTTTGCAGTGCGAAGTGGCAGGACTGTATGTTGGCATGTGCGTGTTTGTGCAGCCTAGTTTCTCCTCTAGCAGAGAGTGTATTTATAGAACAACCCCCTCAAATCCCAACCATAGCAAAGTTGCCTGCACAGACACACAGGCAATATGCTTCCCAATCATGTTTCTGTGTGACAGTGAAGAGGGCTCTCAAACAGCGTGATGAGAGAAGCAGTATTTATTTTTTATTGATTTTGATGATAATTTGAAAAGGGATTTTTGGAAAAAATATTTGGAATATTACATTGTGAATATAGATATTAAAAACGACAAAATGGCAGCTTATTAAGTCATATAGAATAGTCTTACAGTTTAATTACTCAATGTGATAAAACACATTTCATCCCAGTGTCTATTTTCTAAAACAGGAGGAGATATTCTGTTGTTATGGGAAAAAATATGGTCCACAGTTTTCTACTAAAAATAGCACGATAAATGATGTAGAAAAAACCTCCTCCAAGATCAAAGCTGGTTCATTTTGACAGGAAATCATGCCAACACACAACAACACATACACTATCTAAGCGTCTCCTGCTTGCACACACACTGGCATTTCCTCCCATGTCATAAACTGGGGAAAATATGTAACGGCTGTAACATGAATTCTGTTTTTCCTCACTCTTACCATTACTGTCTTTCTCACACACCAAAGCACACACACACTTCTTTCTTATCAGTCAAAGTGAGCTCATTGCAGAGCCCCGGGGCGATAAGCCTGAGCGTGAACGGTGAGTGAGAAACCCCCACCTCTCTCCTCCTGAGCTCCTTACATAACACATAACCACCCAGCCCCCAGGGGTACCCAGCAACACACCGTAGGAGTAAGTGTGTGTGTGTGTGTGTGTGTGTGTGTGTGTGTGTGTGTGTGTGTGTGTGTGTGTGTGTGTGTGTGTGTGTGTGTGTGTTCATACATGTGCGCCGCGATCCCCCACCTTTAGTGAAATCCACAGGAGTTGAAGTGGGGAGAAATCACGCATGCTGTAATGCTCCATAAGATACCGCACGAGCCCATGTTTTATTCACATGAATGCATGATGGGATATCTCTGACGGAGCACTTGTCATTAGCTGCTCAATCACAGCGGAACATGTCTGCAAATGCCGAACGCTTACCCCGTTATTTTTCTGTCACGCAACATTTTGACACAACATTAACGAGCCTGCGAACATTCTGAGAGTCATTACTATATGAGGAATGTGCCTCCATGTGGAACAGCCCTGACACATTCTATACCATATGAAATATACACACAACCATTATAAAAGCCACTGTATGAACACAGACGCTCATCTCCCAGCCCGTATATTCACACATAGCGCTGCGTGTGTGTATTTTTAGCGCAGATAATGAATGCAGGCTTGTCACCAAGATAAAATGAGGTTTAATATTCTAGATGGAGAGTCATCTGTTGTTTGGCCTTCCTCATTACTTCCAGGTCTTGAATCCAAATGCTGCGAGGGGAAGGGTGGTCTGCCCTCTGTCGTGACTCATTTAAATGCTAAGGATGCTTTTCTCCCTTCATCCCTTTCATTTTGTGCTCATAGCTCATCTCAATTTCTCCAACCCCCTTTTTTCATTTTAATGTGTCATTATTCCCCCCTCTCTTCTTCTCATCTCTTTTCACTTCCATCATTTTTCACCTACCATCCATTTTTTGCTTTCCATCTCCACCGCTCTCCTCCGCCTCTTTCACACAGCAGCATCTCGTCCTCTGTTGTTCCGTCTCCATCCCTCAGTGTTGGTCTGAAAGTAAGAATCACCTCCGTCTCCTTCGCAGTGTACACCCCACAGGGACTACAAGTGATAAACCACACACTGAAAATAGTCTTCTCCTGTACCACTGTGTGTGAGCTGATTAAATTGTACTTGACAAAACTATTCTGCGTTGGTTTAATGAAGCATGTTAATGAAGCACGCTCTGAGGGCAGCGCATAACCTCTTTCCTGTCGAAACCAATTTCCCCTCAAGCCCGAGGTCGACTAAAGGCCAAATCAAAGTTTGACTGTAGCTTTGGGAAGAAACAGACTTAAAGTGTCCTTTGCAGTCAGCGTCACGGGTATATCAGCAGACTTTTTTCTTAAAAAGTGAAAATTACCTTCTACGCCAAATGCATTCCTCGGGCTCAGACGTAATCATGGTGGTTTAGCAATTATTCAAGTTTCACTAGCATTCACAATGATTTAGAAGGAAATTGTCCCTTCTGTCAGATATCTAAGCTGTCTGCTGTTGAACTCATATGAACAGAAAGATGGCGAGGCGGCATAATCTGACGTGTTTCTGCTGGCACGCTTAAGAGCCAGAGGCCCAGTGGATGCATTGGATTTTGGAGGTACAGGCACTCCAGGATTCATAGAGCAAGACAAATGTGTATACAAAAGTGGAACATTAAAACAGGCCACAGGCTCTGGGTCAGTGGGAAAAAAGACTCTGCAAATCTACAGTAGAGCAATGCTGCCTCCAGTGCCAGTCCGACAAGCAGGTGCTGACTCGGACACAAGGTCATCTGGAGAAGTATTCGGGATTATTGGCAATCATAAGGGGGAGAAAAAGGAAGGGCTGAAACCACTCAGTCCCACATTTGAGATATTAAATCATCCATCAAGTTAATTGAGATTGGTAGCAAACCAAGATGAGATTTCTGAGATCTGTGCAAACTTTGCAGGGCGGGCAGATACCCTTTATGTTGGTGACAGCAGATGATGGATAACATTAGTTAATTTCCCTGTCTGCAGTGACACTCAGAAGGGTACTCGAGAATAAAAAAGTAGGACATGTCTAAAAGTGAAGTTAAAGTGACCAAATAGTACTTCATAAAAAGAAAAACCTGCTAACTGCATGTCAAGAAAATGACAGACCATCAGGGATTAACCATAGGACAGGAGTGAAATGACTTGGCTCGCCGGGGACTCAATGCTTGAGTGAATTTTGAAAGGTCACCGTTGCTAATGTATCCTGTCTGGAGCTCGTCGTGGTCTGTATAAGGCAAAATGTCTGCTAGACTGTTGAAACAAAAAAATGGATGAATCTACAATTACCATAACATCCATCCAAAACCTAAATCAAGAGATAGATGGTTCACTTAGCTACTCCCCTTAGTTTCTGTTGCTATGCATTCTGTTGTATATTGTAGGCAGATTTACCACTCAACAATTAAGGAAGTATTTTTTTTAAACAATGCACCCTTGATTTGAAACAGTAGGAAGATCAACTCTGGCTTCGCTTTTCTAGCAAACAACCACTTATATAAAAAGTGTCACTGGCATAACTTATCATCTGCAGCCAGAGGGCAGTTTGTGGAGGGATGCCCCCCCCCCACCTTCAAAGTCAAGTCAAAGTCAACTTTAATGTCAATCTTTCAGTTTGTGTGTACAGACAGAGAGATCGAAAATAACATTTCCAGCAATCCCGAATACACAAATACAAATATACAAACATGTATACAAATATGTATAAAAAATATATATCCTGTATGTACAACAGACACATTTACACATATGCACACATTAAGATAAAACACAACAATCAATATATACAAAATAACAAAATAACCGTCACTTCAATATCTTGGGAATGTACATAGCATCGTAAAAAAAAGTCTCTTGTTAGCAAATTGAAAAAAAACAATGCCCCTTGTTAACCTGCCCTCTCCATCCTCTGATATCAGGGGGTTCAGGGGCAGGGGGATGTTTAGTTGAGTATCTAAGTCTTGTCAGCCTGACTCATTGATCATGGCTCTGAAATATCAGCAGTCTAGCTGAGCTGTGTAGAGATAAATCCATGGCGCTGTCCATGATGCTGAATTAGAAGTACGATTTGTAATTGCGACTTTGTAAGTCCCTTCTGTTAATTTGGGGCCATGGGGCAGTTAGCTAGTCTTTGGTGATTGACATTAACTTAGCACATCACCTACTGGCTTTACATATCTAGCTTAGCCAACTAAATGCAGATACCTCCATGAGCAGTGGTGTCAAGCTGATTGAGACTGGGAAGTTTGTGAAAAAAACTTTAATTGAACAATTAATTTAAAAGTACATTTGTTGAAAATACATGTGTTGACTTGGTTTGTTTTTGATGGCTCTATAAATTAAATTGAGCTTAAAGAATCAAGTTAAAGAGTGTCCCTGACAAAAAGTATGCTTCCTAACCAGCTGTTGCTTAATTTAGTAGACATTCAAATGTAGCATCATTGTTTTTGTAGCCCTACAAACATTTTGAAAATAAATGTGCATTTTTCATAGATGTTCAATGCTTAGTATAGCAACTACACATAATAAACAAAACAAACATAGATAATAATTCTGAGGTACTGTATGTTACTACTGTAGGTAGTCAACATAAACATAGTACTTATATATGTGCATGTTTTCACATAGACGGCAAAGACACAGATAGAAGTGGCAAGAAAATAAAAGATCCTTCAAGATGAATGCACATCACAATTGTTGTGAGGGTGTTTATTGAGCAGTTATAATTGAAGACAAAATCCAGTCTTGTCTGAAAAAAAAAAACTAAAACTTTCAAGTCATATTGTCTTTACCTTACCATTACTGAAATACATGTAATCCATATGTTTAACCTATACTGCACGTCTATTGACTGTAGCAGTACGTCTGAATCAGATCATCTCACCGGTGGTCCTGGACAGTCGGTGGTGATTCAGTGACTCAGTATGCGGCAGACTACCTCTGCAGGGCCGCTGCCCACATCAGATAAAACACTTAAACAATTACTGTCTTATCTGCTGTGGTGGGAGAGGAGCTTGTGGCCTCATTATGACCAGATTAGAGCGAGAAACAGAGCCCGGTCCCACACATTTTTCACTGCTGATCGTCAGTCCGCCTGGCCCTCAGGTGACACTAACCACATTACAGTCTTCACACAGACGCACAGAATGACAGTCCAACATACCCGCCTGGGACCCACTTTATTCCATTACAAGTCTCACTTATTCCTGCTGCTCCAAGTTAGCTATGTTGTGATTTTATCTTCAGGGATTGTCACCGAAACACCGCAACAACAACCACAGAATGATATTATGCAGTATCAAGGAATAATTCTTATAACCCATTGTGTTTTAAACTAATAATAGTTGTAGCAACTATTAAGGATATCCAAGTTGCAACCATTAAGCTTATTAACCATTACATTTATAATGGAGCCCAGGCAGTACTGGATTTTTTAGGTAGATACTGCTATTTAGATGTTATCGGTCATTGAAACAACTTGTATGATGCCATGTATCTTAGGTAACTAGAAACGCATTTTACTAAATATACATGTGACAGTCAATTTCCCTGGAAATATAGCTGTCAAAAACAATATTAAACAACATTGAATAAACATAATGATTAAGTTTGATGCTAAAATAAAGATATCAGACATATAAACAGATTATTTTTTACATCAAATCAAATTGTATTTATATAGCCCAATGTCACACATTTGTCTCCGTAGGCTACAGATCAACAAACATGAATGACAATATATACAAATCAATATAGAATATCGTAACATTACAAGATAAAAATGTAAAATACAAATAGAAATAGAGTAACATTAATTGGTATAAAATACAAAATTATTCTATTTCATTAAACAATTAAACTCTAATTTATTTCCACACTGCAATTATCAGCTGACTTATACGCCGATAACAATATACCAGTCAGTGATTATCTTTAATTATTAGATGTATCTTTCAGGCTCTAAGTCATTATCATGAGTAGTTTGGTAACCCCCCTGCTCCCATTGTGTTGTCATAATGTGAGATATTGTCACTAAGATTTTAATTGCCAAACTTTCTGTAGATAAAAATAGATGGATATGATGGTTGACATTTGAATTAGTCTTCTGTTCCACTGTTATAGATGTAACATATGAGTTCCAAACAAATGAACATAGAGAAGACCCACTTCACACTGACAGCAGATTTAGCAAATGTCAAATATTTCATAAACTGGGTTGATGCTGAATAAGTTAAAGCAAAAATAAAACTGCAGACTATAGCAGGTCTAGTTTTAAAACTATGACTCAAACAATAGATTCAAGAGTAAGCGACAACACAATTAAAATGGGAAGACAATATAATGAAAGCAGTGAGAAGTTCTTCAGGAGATGGCTCTGTGTTGTTTCCAGCCCGCTCTCACATCTCGTCTCCCTCGCTCTCTTTCATGTGCAGACAATGTGAAAAGACACTCAGAAATTGAACAATAACATTTGAAAAAATGATGAAATCTTAATTCTTTCTTTGTACTGTCACACACACTATCTCTCTCTCTCTCTATTTCTGACTCTGTATCTTCCTGGTCCATTTTCCGCCTGCCTCTCTCTCCTCCTGTGTTTGTGTTGCAGGCAGCCAGCGCTCTCCATCCTAGCATGCCCTCACATTTGTTCCGGTGTTTCTCCCCCCCGCTCCCAGCACAGGAGATGCATTAGAGTCGTCATTGGCTGTCTCAATGTGCTTTGACAGCTGGTGACAGGCCCTGTGGCATTCTTATTTATCTAATCAACAGCCAGTCAGCTTTAGTACAAGGCATGGCAGTAAATCAGCGTTGACCTCACGTAAACTCCTTCACATGATATGTGTATGTTACATACCACGGGCCTGACACTGATATCATGGGCTTCACTGGGAGGAAATTACTATATGTAAATGTGTTTCTTAAACACGATGCAGTACGATATCATTTGTCCCTGTAAGGAAATGTGTCCTCACTGTCCTGGACTCTGTCCTGCAGTTTCACTGAAGATACAAATCATACATAGAATAATAAAAAGACATCAACATATTATCACACACATAATTATTGACTAGGCATTCATTTAGGACTTTATACAGTAGGTCTTGGTTCAATCGTATCAATGTTCACCTTTGGGTGTTAAAACACAGATGCTTGGTAGCAGTCGATTCCTCTTTACTGATTTGAATCAACAAAGGATACAGCGAAGGAGGTGTGAGGTCTAAAACAAAGAAATACAAAAGTGCAAAAATATAATTAGATTCCAAGCAACAGGTTAATTTAGCTTAAATATCTTATTATAATCACTAGAAATACATTTTCTTTAATCCTGCTACTATATTAATTATTATTTTTAAACCAAATCCACCCAATCGACAGCCTTTCCAACTAAATATATGCATTTACTTTACTGACAATGGCGACCTATTGCAAAACCCTCATGGCCAACATCTCTATCTATATAACATCACATGTGAGCTTTAAGCGTGTAAAGAATCTGACAAAGAAGTGACTTTTTACTATTAGCAGATAATAAAATGAAATGGAGTATGTTTTTTTCTGTGGTCAGTCAGTCTAACATTGACTAAATTGTCTCAACATCTAGAGGATAGATTGTTATTGTACTTTTTGTTATTTTAGCACCAAAAGAGGTCAACGGTTTTCCTTTTCAAGTGAAATGTCACCAAGATATTTTGATAGTGAACTTTGTAAGTCTACAGATGGAATTCATACAGTGCATTTGGGTTGAATTCAGTTTTGAAAGAAAACACAAATAATACTTTTTAAAGCATTACAAGATGAACAACTCGAGAATCAACTCAATACTCACATGCAGAACTTGATAAATATGTCCTAATGTTCCTCTCTCTCCTCCTCTGTCCCCCCCTCCCTCTCTGTGCAGACCATGCTGACTGCCATCTCGATGAGTGCCATCGCTACCAATGGAGTAGTGCCAGGTGGGTGAGCAGACGCTGGCATCACACAGTGATCACTGTTTGTGTCTGTCCGCTTCTAAAATTCTCCTTTCACTGATTGCTTTTGGCACATTACACCCAGCGCAGCTTGATATCCCCAGAAACATTAAAAGCTGTAGTCTGGGGTCTTGTGCACTTTAACTTTTCCTCACACAACCTTATTTACACAAAATACAACGTGAGCCAAATGCCTGAAATGCAGCACTGGATGTATGTGTTTGTCTCTGTATGCAGACACATTTACACAGCATGGCTATGTTTTATAATTTGAGTTTACAAAGTAATGATGGCCTACGTCTTACCAGTTGGAGTGGATGCAGCAGGGGTCAGAGCAAATTACAGGCTTGTGGGAAAGTGTGGAACTGTGTGCCAATTATAACTGTCTCTGTTATAACTGGTGCAAGCCTCATGCCACTGCAAAGTGCTGATTAAGGTCTATTTATTTATGCTTAGTTCATTTACTTGCACACTGTTAGGAAATAGAAGCACTGTGAATAAACACAATGATACAAATAAGTCACAGGAGCAAAATAACCAAAATGTCAACTATTGGAGAGCAATATGACAAAAGCAAGGTTGTGCAGTTACACAAATACTTCAGTCTAAAATAAATTAGTATGACAATCAATTAAAAAAAGAATTAGTCAAATGTACTTGTGATAGCTTCACAAACTTGCAGTTGCTTATTCTTTGATATGTATTGAGTAATTGTTTGTCGTTTTATAAATGTAACAATTGTCAGACGTCATTACATTAATGCTACTGATGATTTGAAAAGTTGTGACACTTAAATATCTGCTTCGATTCAACTAGTTAATGTTTGTCTCAAAAGTGCATTGCACAAAAATGTAATTCAGTGAAATACACAACATTTAAAAAGCTCATCACAAATGTGTATAGTGAACATTGAGTAATTCATTCAGTTGCACATTAAAAAGTATATTTCATCAACTTGAATCATACACACATACCAGTATGTCTGTTAACATTGTTGTGTTTGTGTGCAGCCGGAGGCGCCTACTACATGATATCCCGGTCCTTGGGCCCTGAGTTTGGGGGTGCGGTGGGGATCTGTTTCTATCTGGGGACAACCTTCGCCGGAGCCATGTACATCCTGGGGGCCATCGAGCTCCTCCTGGTGAGAACAATCCTGTTTCCTTCATCAAGACATCTGCTTTATCTTCACAAAGTTAAGAGACACAATTTAAAGATTAAGCCCACCAGGTGAAGTAAGTCTAAATAAGGCTTTGTAGATATAAAATTGTGCATTTTCCATCTTAAACATATTCTTAGTGGTTAATAATTGGTTATACATTTGACAACACTTCCAGGAAAGCTGCCATGTTTTCTCAGATTGGAAATCAGCAGCAATGGCCACTAACAGTGGAGTGAGGGTAATATAAGTGTGAGTAAAGGAGGTCCTCTTTGTACAGCATACTTGAAACGACATCCATTTCAAGTCATTTTACTCATGATGTTGCCAGACCATAATGAGCAGGAGAGTAAATGATTGGATGCCATTGCCAGCTTGGTGGAGTATGACCACTCAAATCACAGTTTTTCCTCCGCTGCAATGAACCCTGCAACTTCATAAATTGACAATTGTATCAGAGCGATATCACTGTAACATAAGCTTATTTCAGCAGGAAGGTGAAGTCATTAAACATCAAATACAGGACACCATGATTGACTTTAGGTTATATCATGTTTTTAATACCTAAAACATTTGGTTTCATGGTCGAAAGCAGGTCCCAGTATAGGACATGCTTCAATGATATGAGTCCAAAAACAGGAATTCAAAAACCAATCAAAGATTTCTCCTGAGAATAAGGGTTTTTCATTTTTCTTTCTTTTCTTTTCTCATGCTTTGTGTCTGTGTGGAGGGAGAGCCTCATAATCTTTCTAATAAATGGAAGTGGTATCAATCTATTCATCTAACTCATCTAAAGCTTATAGGTATTGAGCTTTTCCTTTAACCTTTGTCATTACATCCATAGATATATGCTTAAGCATGTATAACAAAATAATTTTAAACTAGAGATATCTGACCAAGTAGAACAAAAACACAAGATTAGAATTGTAAAGATTTAGATTGTTTTCAAGGGGGTGAAAGTGTTCAATAGGTTGTTATCAAAGTCTGATTGAGCAGAATACAATTCAGTATTTCATACGACTGTAATCCATTACATCCGAATGCAGTGCAGCTCCTGCAGCGACCACATGCACATATCATCCAAGTGTATTGAGTGTTCTCAATCAAAATGAGACCTAGCAGTGCATCACTATGTGCCACATGCCTAAAAATAGAGCTCCCCTTCAGTGTATTTCCCTCCACAAAAAAGCTTTGAAGCTATTTTGTATCAAGCTGTGTGTTCTTCAACGTGAATTCTGAGCAGTTGATGAAATGCAGGGAACTTTCATCTTGATCTTCATCCTCCTCCTCCTCCTCCTCCTCTTCCTCCTCCTCCTCCTCCTCCTCTGCCTTTTTATTCGAACTCCTTCCACTGCAGTCCCCCATGCATGGGCTATTGGGTAATTATGCAAATGCTGCATTAGCGAGCGATCAAGACTCTGGCGGAGAAACAAGAAAATTCCTTGAAACAGCTCTCACTTTAGTCGACAGTTATCAACATACCAGAGTGTTCTTTTTTATTTTTCTTATTCTTCCGTTATTCTCCTTCTGGATGCCTCCTAATGGATATGCAGAGTTTGATCATGCCTGGAGGTTAATTCTGTCTTCTGGGTCAAAGCTGGCTTAGTTTCCATTGTAAAATAACAATCCTTGCAGAATTGTAAGGAGCGGATCTGGAGAAGACTGATTTGAATATGTTTCATCCTTCTTCCACCCAGGCCAAGAACACAAACTGAGGCTGCTATTTTAGGAAGCATGCACAGTTCAAAGTGAAGCAGGAGATTTGTTTGCCTCTGATAACGCTGTTCAGATCACTTTCTCCAGCCAAATGACCAAAATGAGCCCTGACTCCCCACTTGTTCTCGTCAGTTTTATTTCCTCTTCATGGTGATTCAACCAGACGATTATTAAAACAAAAAAAGGGAGAAATTCCCATGCTTATGTAACAGCTTTCTGCATAAGCTGATGACAGATAATGACAGGCTAATTAAGGGTTTTACCGTGTTATATATGATGGCACTATTCTTAGATTGACCCGTAGTAAAATGGCAGTTCATTTTGTATATTAATACCATGCTTGAGTTCTTTAATTAGGCAGAATAAAAAAAGCAGAGCGGCATTCTGTGTGCTGCTCCGAGCTCCAGGAGAGGACTGTTAATGTGAGCATCACATGTTTTCACACTTCAAAGAGTTGTCCTCCTCACTCACCTCACGCTTTTCTCACCTCTCCTTTATTATATTTCATCTTCTGTCTTTCTTTTTTTTTACCCAGGCTGAGGTTTATTTAATTCAGCAGTAAACAGCAAGCTAGAGGCTTGTGACCTCAGATCTGCCAGTTTATATCCCCAGACTGGCCGGGGAAAGCGCGAGGAGGGGAAGTAGATGAGTAACACTCCCCAAACAACTAACACAAAGATGCCCTTGAGCAATGATGAGATTGTATGGAACTTTTTGGAGAAAATAGCAGGTGTGATATCACTCGATATTTAGCGGTGATATAGAATAATATTTAGATTTTCTTCACACTGCACATTTCACTTTTATATGTAATTGAATATGCTATTCCTTGCACACTTACTGTAAATAATATCTTACTTTTACATTTTTTTAGCTGTACTTGGCCCTTCATAGCGTTTATTCAACAGATAGTCTACAGATGTCTATCTTTCACTGTGAACATGTATGTATTTTACTTTTGAGTTCTGTTTTATTTCTATTTTGAGATGTTTCTATTCTATGTTTGTTTATTTTTACTCTTTATCTCCACATTATGTGCAATGCCTCGGTTTAACATGCCGCTGTGACGAAACATTTCCCAATCAGGGATCAATAGAGTAAGTCTTAATAGAATGTCTTTAATATCATAACCCTTTCACTTCAGATCTACATAGCACCCAAAGCAGCCATCTTTCCCCTGGAGGGTCTGGAGGGGTCCGAGGCGGAGGCCGCCCTGCTGAACAACATGCGGGTGTACGGCACCATCCTGCTCTTCTTCATGGCCACGGTGGTGTTTGTCGGAGTGAAGTACGTCAACAAGCTGGCCCTGGTCTTCCTGGCCTGCGTCATCCTCTCCATCCTGGCCGTGTACGCCGGGGTCATCAATACTGGATGGGATCCTCCAGAATTCCCGTAAGCCTACCAAGACGGTCAGACAGAATATTAGCTTAGCCGAAAAAACATAACCATAACGCTAACTACGAGGCGAAGAAAATACATCAGACTGATGCAATACACACCTGATGTCAGAAAACATTTATATAACCTGTCATTATATTGATAGGAAGTTAGAAAGCCTCCTCTATTGATTGGAAAGTTGAAAGGGTTTGGCTTGGTTTTCATTCATTATGGTAAACATGAATAATATCCAAATGTTGTTTGAAGCTAAATTATAAATGTGTCATTTTTATATCAAAATCCTTTTAGTTACTTTTTAATATTTACATCTGTAGTGCTTTATTACCAGACGTCAACCATTTATAGTAGTAGTAGTTTTAGTATTATCATTATTATTACTATTATTAATGTAGTTGTTGTTGTTGTTGTTGTTGTTGTTGTTGTTATAATTATTTGTATTCTTGTGTTACTTGTTCTTCTCTCCAGTGTGTGTCTCCTGGGCAACCGCACCTTGGTGTCGAAGAACTTCGACGTGTGTGCTAAGACCATCGAGTCAGCCAACGGGACGGTCACCACCCAGCTGTGGCGCATGTTCTGTGACTCACCGCTCCTCAACGCGACCTGCGACAAGTACTTCGTAGCCAACAATATATCTCAGGTCCAGGGCATCCCAGGGGTAACCAGCGGGGTCCTGGCAGGTGGGTCTGGATCTGCCTTGTACCATTTGCACACAGTGAGCACACAAAACAACAAACCTGGAAGAGGAGAGAGATAGTCTGATCTCTTACCTACATAAAACAGCAATACTATATTTAAAAAATAATCTGTACAAGTATAAGTCCTGCATTCAATATCTTCCATAATTTAAAAAAACAGAAGTGTTGGCATCAAAATATACCTAAAGTAGCAATTATGCATATTGGGCAATTTCAGTATCATATACTTTATCACAGCTGATAAAGGGGGAGCTCATTTACTTTACTCATGTCTTTAACTACGTCCATGTTTATTTATGAGTTGATTTATATTTTGAAATAGCTAGTCATCTGTAAAAGTTCTAAATGTACTTACTGCCAACAAAATGAGGTGGAGTGGAAGTATAATGTAGCATGACATGAAAATACTCATAGTACATGTAACTCAAACGTGTACTTAAGTACAGTGCTTCAAGTAAATGTACTTTATTACAACCACCAGTGTGCACATGCCCATTTTAAGTACACAAATATGTACAGTAGCCTATGTATTTTTCTTAATATGCTGTAGTCATGGATAATTAATTAGTTGAGTTTAGTCGTCAAAGTAAAAATGCTTACATTAAAGTGACCTGACCTGCAAAACGTGGTCTTAAAGCAGATTGTTGCTATATGCTTTGTCTGTCGTCAGATGGGGAAACGCATAACTGTTTCCATTATAATCCCCTGAAGAATTTCTTTAGGGGGCATTAGGAGTAAATAAGGAATAAGTCAATTATGAAAAGAAAGCTGTCATGGGTTGCACCGCTTCAACTCACAATATGCATTAGATTAATTGATTTGCTGAATTTGCCAAATTATATACTAATGCATTTCTATGTCATATATATATAGAAAAAAAAAATATAAATATGTATTATCCTAGAACCTGAAAGCTTTTCAGGGTATTTAGAAAGTGATTTTGTTTCACTAAGACCAACAGAAGCGAGTAACAGACCGTAGCAGCAGTTTGTCCGCCCTGGGCAACCGCACACCTGAGGCTACAGAAAACAGAGCTAGGTTAACCTCGTTCCTCTCTAGTAGTTACTACAGGGGCAACAGTTAGCCCTGTTTTAAGGATCCATGTTTGCAAATCAGAGTCAATGGTTTAGAGTCCCCCTTTGAGGTTTTCATGTTTCATTGTTTTATCAAAAAGCCTTTTCTTATTTGTTTAACCAAATTATTACTGTTTGCCCCTTTTGTCTTCATGGAGGAGAGCATGTCCACATCCACTCAGAATGCAATCACAAATACATTACAAATGTACATACATTTACAGTCACATTGCGACATGGAAGGAAATACGAAAATGATCGGTGTGTGAATACTACAGGGAAATATATACTGAGGAGAACCCAAGATAATCACATTGGTGTGCAATGCTCACGTCAACACTGAAATACAATTTGAGCTCAGTTTATTAAAATGAATTTGACCCTGATTTAAGTTAATTACATTTTAATTTAAAAAAATGTAATGAAAATGTTTCTATGATCCAAATTTAAAACCTAACTACTTCAATACTTCCCTGTTCCACATCCAGAGAACATGTTTGGGACTTACTATGAGAAGGGGGACCTGATTGCCAGGAAAAACATGGAGTCAGTAGAGGACCAGGACGACCCTCTGACCAACTCAAACCGCTATGTGCTGGCCGACATCGGCAGCTTCTTCACGCTGCTCGTCGGCATCTACTTCCCGTCTGTGACAGGTGGAACTCTCAATCTTATATGGATTTTTTTCATTTTGTGGTTTCTGATATTCATGTTAGGAATGTACATGAACTTATTATTATTCTGCAGCATCTAACTTGCCCTGTGTTTGTATTTGTTGTTGACCTAGTTAAAATGTTTGCTTCTCCACTTTGTGCTCAGGGATCATGGCCGGCTCCAACCGCTCCGGAGACCTGCGTGATGCTCAGAAGTCCATCCCCATTGGAACCATTGCAGCCATCACCACCACCTCCTTTGTCTGTATCCTCTCACTACTGCCCCCTGCAGGTTGACACTTGTCCCTGCACTGGCCAATTTAAAAAACATTTAGTTTTCAACCCAATTCAAATAATTTGAATATTGCCAAATATTAAATCAGTGGAATATCATGTTTTCTAAAAACCCTCTGTTCAGCCCAGAGTAGCCATTACAAGTTATATATTTATACATTTTATTTATTATTACTTTATTTATTTATAATGTTTTATAAAACAAGAAAGTACTATGGCAAAAAAGTATCAAGAATCATCTAACCACAAGTGCAAAAAGCCTAAAAGTGCAGAGAGATATACAAGAATAAAAATGGAATAACATGGTGTTTTCACAAAATATTTAAAGTATGTTCAGTATAAAGCATTTGCAAAGTGAATGTAGTCATATAAGACATCTAAAAGCCCTAAAATAATTGTGGCCAGATATCCACTCAAACAGTGTTGTAAGCTCTGCGATGATTTTTCAGACACCACCATCCCATGTTGACAGGACTTGAAGCGATGATGCACTTCTGTGCTTGTCTGCTGTAACAAAATCACACTGATTGGCCGGCAGGGCGCTCCATAATTAAAGGTCAACATAGTTTAAACCATGAAAGGCCATAACTGCTTTAATACCAGAGTGATTTTGATTATGGGTTTGCATTATCTTTCTGATTTGCACAAAGTATTCCTGTGATGACGGTGACACTCTTTTATTTTATTTAATACTCTCAGGCTCCCACCAACAACGCTTATTAAATGTTTATGAGAAAGAAAAACAATATCACACAAGTAAAAACAAAAATAAATTCAAATAAGGGCTAACATATAACATACATTTGTAGGTGTAATTGCAAATGAATAAACTTAATGTATATTTTAAGTATAAATACAAAGAGGTGTGAACATATGTAAAAGATGCTTGCACAGTTATGGCATTAAAAAAAAGTTGGCATTTTAAACATTATTTGGCCGTGCTTCAGCATACACACAGGCAGATGTGATTACAGGCCTCTTACTCTGAAGCAGCCATCTTGAATCTCCTCCATGTATCTCAGTAATCAGCTTGGGGTCTACACCAATTTGATTAGGATCTCTAATCGCATCAGTGGACTGCCTATGCAATCACGAGTTAATAAAGCATATATATATATATATATATATATATCCCAAACAAAATCGATTGCTGTCTTTACTCAGCAAACACTGTTGATTGGTTTATCAGATCGTTGAGTGCATCTTCCAAGGGAAAGTTTTATAATTCTTATAATCAAATCCTGTCAATCACTGAACAGGTCTCATCCAAGTCATTCATGCTAGCTAATCAAATATTACATCTGAAATTCTTTCCTGATCCAAAACTGCTCAGACATGACCAGTGTGGTTCTGTTCGGTGCCTGCATCGAGGGAGTCGTCCTCAGGGACAAGTAGGTCCTTCAATTGGAGAAGAAATTTGAATCAACTGATTATTCTTCTAATAATATGCTTGCTGTTAATAATACAAAATAACAATGCATTAAAATGACCCTTTCTTGTGTCCTATAGGTTTGGAGAAGGAGTCCACGGGAATTTGGTCATTGGCACATTGGCTTGGCCGTCACCATGGGTGATCGTTATTGGCTCCTTCTTCTCCACCTGTGGGGCGGGGCTTCAGAGTCTGACGGGGGCCCCTCGTCTCATGCAGGCCATCGCCAAGGACGGCATCGTGCCCGCCCTCCGGGTCAGTCTGTCTACTCAATAACACCACAGAACTTTCTTAATTTATTTATTCATAGATTTTTTTCATTTATCAGATAAGACATTAACACAAACAATCTCTCAAGGTACATGTAGAGCAGCGGTTCCCAACCTGTAGGCCCCTGCCCCCCTAGTGGTCCGCGAAGGCATTGCAAGTAGGTTATATAGGTCAGACAACATCTATTATTTCAGGGCCAGTGTGTAGCTCAGTTGGTATAGCTAGCGGCCAGGTAGACCAATCACAGGTGAGGGTGATACTGATTTTCACATCTCTAAACCATTGGTTGTGCGATTTGAGCACTGAGAAAACTGAAACATTGACTTTAATTATATGTATTATGTCAAAAATGTCACATTAGGTTTGTTGAAAGCAATAATATTAAGTTGAACCATTTGAATTTAAACTAATATTATTGCTTCCAGCTAAGCTAATACAGTCATGTGGAATCTGTTGACATACAGTAATACATTTAATTCAAGTTTTTAAACCAAATGTCCTTTCCTTTATTAATGTGCAAGATTTCTCTGTGCTGTCCCCGCAGATCTTTGGCCATGCAAAGGCTAACGGAGAGCCCACATGGTCTCTCCTGCTGACCGTTTGTATCTGCGAGATCGGCATCCTCATCGCCTCTCTGGATGCTGTGGCTCCCATCCTCTCCATGTGAGAACTTTTGAATTCACTGCCATTTTTAAACCAACGTTGGGAGATTTCAGAGCAGCCAGTTCCCTTGCTATTCCCTAAATGTTGCAAATGGCACATTTTATCGACTCAGATTTAGCTCATCAGACAAAGGGCATGCCGCTCTACTGCTCTAGTGACACAGTGAATCTCAGTGAATGTGACGGATATCGAGACAGGATACTCTTTGGACTATAGTCGTGGTGATATCCCTATAATGTCACAGGCAGAGATGGCAAAAGTACACACATCAGTACAGTAGAAGTACAGATACTCGTGTTTACAAGTAAAAGTAGAAGTACTGACTAAACTTCTTGACTCAAGTAAAAGTAAAGAAGTATGGGCTTCAAAATGTACTTAAGTAAAAAGTACCCATAACTACCAACTGTTTTAAAGAGTGACTGACCTCACTTTATATTATAGAACAATAATGTCATTTTTAGCTAAGGAATGTTTTGTTGCTGAACAACGGCAAAATGACAAAGTTCTCATTGGTCCCTCTTGTTTAGAGAAGACCAGGAAATGATGGATACAAGGATTGTGTTAAAATCAACAGACACGCAATGACTCTAAATAATAATGATCAAGCCACCAAACAGAGATTAAAACTAAAGGAACGAGCCTGTTTTGAAAATGTAAGAAGTAGAAAGTACAGGTATTAGTGTTAAACATGCAAGAAGTAAAAGTAAAAAGTCGTCAGAAAAAGAAGTAGTGGAGTAAAGTACTGATACCAGAAAAATGTACTTAAGTAAAAGAACAAAGTATTTGTACTCCACTACTTCCCACCTCTGGTCACAGGATATAAGAGTTGTGTTTTTAACTGTGTCCCTTTGTGTCCTGCAGGTTTTTCCTGATGTGCTACATGTTTGTGAACTTGGCCTGCGCTTTGCAGACGTTGCTAAGGACTCCAAACTGGAGACCGCGCTTCAAGTTCTACCACTGGTCAGTTCAGACGCTACTGAGACAGAGAGCAGCTGGATATTTATACTTTAAATGTGTGCCCGGGCCTCTGTCTTACTTTCTGTGTGTCTCTACAGGGCTCTGTCCTTCCTCGGGATGAGCTTGTGTCTCACGCTCATGTTCATCTGCTCCTGGTACTACGCAATCATCGCCATGTTAATTGCCGGCTCCATCTACAAGTATATCGAGTTTGCAGGGTGAGTGGAGCGCAACCCCAGGAGAGATTGGATTCGCCGGCTGCCTTTTGGTTTTGCTGGAGTGTATTTTTTGTGTGTGTGTGTGTACGCTGTATTTTAAGAGCTTTCTGCCACTAAATCCACACCATCAATATTTTTTAGGAGCTTTAAGGAAAATGACTGCTTTTGCTTTTAGTTCTACAGATTGTGGGATAAAAACAATAGATGTCCTAGCAAGCCTATTGATATACTGTATGAAATTATAGATGCCATGTGTTACTCATGACATCCTCCCTATCATCACAGAGGCACTATTAGAAAAACGCCCCTCACCGCCTCCACATAGGAATCAGATCCTGTGACTCAAAATGATGCGTAGTGACTACAAACTATGTGCCTGCAGAGTTTGGCATCTCTTTCAGGGATGTTTCATAGTTGAGGGTTCAAAAAAGTATCGTTTTCCATCTATTTGCAGCTGTTTTCAGTGGTATTTTTCATGTGAAGCAGAGCTGTCAAGGGGCTGTTTGTAAAAAAAAACCTGAATCTGAACTTCAGGATTTAGTTTACACAGGAGATAGATCACTTCCTGCTGCAGCAGATTCCACCTTGACACATATATTATAATAACTGTTGCTGCTGACAAATACATCGGCAAAGAAAGCCTGATATCTTTGAAATATTAATATCATTATTGAAATCATTTGAAAATGTGTATTCTCCATGAGTATTTAATCTCAATCTCAATCTTTATTTATTTATATAGCATTTAAGTGCTGTGACTCCCTGTGGTGAGTGACATCATTTCATCATGACATTTACCAGTGATGGCTAATCCTTTATCACATTGCGTTATTTCAAAGCACCATCTGAAAGTAGATTTGTCACTTTTATCATTTAGAAGGGAGCTGCTACACTTTTGATCACGTTTTGATTGACGAATATTGATGTACTGGCGCTTGTCTGTGTCACAGTGCGGAGAAGGAGTGGGGTGACGGGATACGAGGTCTGTCTCTGAGCGCCGCACGCTACGCTCTCATGCGTCTGGAGGAAGGTCAACCGCACACCAAGAACTGGAGGTACAAACACAACGTCACACACGCTGTTGTTTTATTTAATTAACATAGAAATCACCAACAGTTCAGCCATTGCCTCAGTAAATGTGATTCTCCTCATCAGAGCTGTCAAACAACAATAATTCATTATAACATGTCAACCTTTCATGCTGTTTCTCTCCATCTCTTCTTCCCTCCAAGGCTTATACTTGGCCCACTCATGTCTTTCATCACGCCTTTATTAGATTCTGCCCTCTATTTCTCTCCTCTTGACTTTTTTCTTTCTTTTGTTTTCACTTTCTCTCCCCTCTCTCCAGGCCCCAGCTGCTGACGCTGGTTAGTACAGACTCGGAGCAAAACATCGAGCAGCCTCGTCTGCTCTCTCTCACCAACCAGCTGAAGGCAGGCAAAGGTCTGACCATCGTCGGGACGGCTCTAGTGGGATCCTACTTGGAGAACCAGGAGCAGACCCAGCGTGCAGAGCAGGTAGGCAGCCCTGAAGTTTGAATCGTAAAACTATATTGTTGTCTTTTAGAGGCGATGCACATGAATTCTCCATCTTCCTATCCAGGCGCTTCGTAAACTGATGGAGACCGAGAAGGTGAAGGGCTTCTGTCAAGTGACCGTGTCCTCCAACCTGCGCGATGCCACCTCCCACCTCCTCCAGGCCAGTGGGCTGGGGGGCCTGAAACACAACGCTGTGCTGGTGTCCTGGCCCCGCAACTGGAGGCAGGGAGATGAGCACCAGACCTGGAGGAACTTTGTTGGTCGGTCACTGGGAAACCAGATCAACCAATAAGCATGTCTGACATTTAAAAGCCTTTTCTCTGCCTAAGGCCAATTTTAGGATAGTCTGTTAGAGTGGTGCACTTCTCTTTAACCATAAACTGCAGGTTTCAAGCTTTTTTATGTCCGGCATGTGTGCTGCTGAAGCATCTGAGCAAGTAAAAAGCAGCTCAAAGAAATAAGGAGTATTTGCTGATGGAGACCAGGATTAGTCATGCCAAGTGTTGCTGGAACAAAAACAGTTCGGATTGTAAAGCAGACAAACATTGATGTAATTTACTCATAGCTGATCCAAGTCTTGCATTGAGGTCTAACTATATATATCAAGTACATACTCCTGAAAAGACTCAGAGCACCGTACACCTTAAAATGTAAAGTCAACAAAGCACTAATTGTCTTTTTCTATATTTTTTGACTCATCAACCTTACTATTATTTTTCATAAAGTTTAAATTGTGTGTCAACTTTGTTTGAACTCCTCTGCCTCCCTCACCTCTGCAGAGTTGGTCAGAGAAACCACCGCGGCTAGCCTGGCTATGCTCGTCCCGAAGAACATCGCGGCCTTCCCATCCAATGGAGAGCGCTTCACCGAGGGCCACATCGATGTTTGGTGGATCGTCCATGATGGAGGCATGCTCATGCTGCTGCCCTTCCTTCTCAAACAGCACAAGGTACTGTGACAAACAAAACAGGTAAAGTATTTAGAGTGTAGTACAGTATTAACAAGTAAAGACACTTCATGAACAAAATGTCATGCTCCATATATGTAGAATAATATTGAGAAGTTTTACTTGAACATTTGAAAGATATTCTGGATGTTTAAGCAGTCGTTTTTCCGGCTCAGGTCTGGAGGAAGTGCAAGATACGCATCTTTACCGTGGCCCAGTTGGACGACAACAGCATCCAGATGAAGAAAGACCTGACCACCTTCCTCTATCATCTCCGTATCGAAGCCCTGGTGGAAGTAGTAGAAATGGTGAGTTTTAACCCAGATTTTTTTTAATTATCTCTTACCACTTATATCAGAATGCATCAAAAGGCGCTTGAATCTCAGTGCAACTCAGCTGGTTACATAGTCAGAGTACCCAGCCATGTCTCAGGACTGTTCCTCCAGTGAGCAAGAAGTATTTGTCCGATGGTGAAAGAAAGCCTGCAAAGCATCCTTCTTCATCAGCTTACCCCCATTGGAATTGGGAGAAATGAAATGTAATTTTATTTTTCACAGAATTACTTGCATCACAATGAATGCCTGGCAATAACATGAATGCCTGTAAGGAAATATCGTCCTAAAGTGTGCGGCGTTATTCCCTCTTGCCGCCCCCCCCCCTTTAGCAGCTGAAGGCAGACTGTTCACCCTGCCTTCAGTTGCAGCCTGGTCGGTCGACACGTGGTCGGCCGACACGTCATTTAAACTAGTTTATTTTTAAGCTTCACATTAACCTCATCCAGGATTCACCAAGACAAAGAGGGATTTAGCTGGTAAAAAATAAATATGAAAACATTAATCATAAAACGTGTAATGTATCCTTCCATTTCATTTTAGCATGACAGCGACATCTCAGCCTACACTTACGAGAAGACCCTGGTGATGGAACAACGATCGCAGATGCTTAAACAGATCAACCTGAGCAAGAATGAGCGTGAGAGAGAGGTAGGAAAGTTTGCTTATGTCAAAGTTGTGTTTGTTTTGAAATGCAGTTGAAAAAGTACACATAAACTTGACTTGACTTGACGGGCGGACTTGGCATGGCTCTGTGTGATTTGAGTGGACTGGACAGATAAGCCCCTGAGGACAAAAGCATATCCACAGTTTGATCGGAGCAGTGGGACATATTTACTCTCTCTGTTAAAGAGGACTGCAGCCACAGATTTGCTTTTCTGAGACACAGATGTTGTGTTCTGATAGATGCAGAAAATAATATATTGATCTCAGTGTTACTATTCTTAGCTCGTCCCAAGATTGCCTGTTTGTCCAGATCAATAAATGAAATGAGTGCAGTGAAATAAGTCTCACTTTTTTCTGTCATTGCAGCGATTCACAGTGAAAAACACTAACCTGACCTATCATGCTTCTCTAACTAAAACTCTGCCTATATCCCTCTTCCATGCTTCACTTCTTCTGTATCTTCACAGATCCAGAGTATCACTGATTCATCCCGCGGGTCAATCCGCCGTAAGAACCCGGCCGCCGTGACAACCCAGCTGAGTGTGACCGAGGAGCCGGCCGCAGACAGCAAGGAGGAGAAACCCGAGGAAGAGGTAGAGCATTGCTGACCTCACTCTGAAGAGTACAGTTGGTTTGTGAGGCCACGTGAAGGCCATTTCACACAGAACGAGCACGAAGGAAAAAAGTGACAGATTGAAGTGGGAAGATAAAACCAGGTGGTAAACAAAACCTGGATAAGCTAGTAGAACACACCAAATCACCAGCATTGCAAGATAATTATTGTATTTGTAAGATCATTTTTCCCTCTGAACAACGTACATCAGTAAGTATTATTAACTATATTATGTTGATCCTTTTGGGATTCTTACAATTGTAAGTTGTTCTATAATTAATTTCAAGATAGCAAAATATGGATTCTACATTTATGTTCAAGCAGCTCTTGTCATGTGACCATTGTACAGCTAATCATGCTTGGTTTAGGGCAGGCTGTGATGTTGATGAATGTGACTCTGTCTTTTAATTCAATCGTGTTTCAGGGCTGTACCCGAATATTCTACTATTCGAATATTCGTTCGTTGGCCAACTATTCGGGTTTCAATTTCAGAATTCGGATATTCGTTTTTTTCTTTTTTTTCCCCATAGTTTTTTTTTTTTTTTAATATTATTTTTTCTTTTAAATGTATGCTATTAATAAGGCGAATTGCCATATTCTTATACTATATTTATACTTTTGAATTGCACTGTTAAAATGCGGAAATATATAATCTCAGCTATAGTATAAGAATATGGCAATTCGCCTTATTAATAGCATACATTTAAAANCATAACACGTTCCGAATCCGAGACACCTGACAACACGCTGTTAAGCAGAAGCGCAGAAAGAGCATACTATTACGATTTATATTTATTTATTGTCTCAGTACTCGCAAACATTAAAACTAAATGTGTCCTCTGTAGGGTAACTGTAGGGTCTGCTGTGTTGTTGAGGATGGGATGCGTGGGGATGCACCTATGGACACAAGTTATTATTAGGCTGAGCTGCTCAACTTTATTTAATAAAAATTAAAAAACTAATATAAAAAAACAATTCGGTAGCTTGCTTGCAACTATTTTCCAAGCAAAGTAAGTGCATGTTTTTATCATGTGTAACGTTACTGTTTAAACGGCGGATCAAGCAGCTTCATCATGGCAATTTGACAACAGCTAAGCTAAGCTAAGCTAGGCTACTACTTCTTACAGCATCCAGGTGACTTTTCAAAGTTGTTGTGCCACAGTGGTAGGCCAGTTTCTTATCGCATATTTGGCACATATTCTTCTTACCGTCGTCCAATTTAAAATGGTCCCACACAGCTGAAGTCTTCGGCATTTTGTGGGTGAAACGAGGTGAAGCGAGCTGAAGCGTGCCGTTTGCGTGAGTGAACGCGATGTCAGGAGCACAGGCTGAGATTGTATATATTTCCGCATTTTAACAGTGCAATTCAAAAGTATAAATATAGTATAAGAATATGGCAATTCACCTTTATTAATAGCATACATTTAGAAAAAAATAAATACAAAATTGAAAAAATTAATATTTTTGAGAATAAAAAATAAAAAAAAATATCCGAATAATTAAATTGAAACCCGAATAGTTGGCCAACGANTTTGTAGTTCTTTAGTCTCATTAGGCGTACTTTTCCCACAAAGGTTCATCAGAACTTAGTTCATGAGAACTCTTTAGTTCTCATGAACTAAGTACAGATCACGTTCACACCGGAATAAGTCCCTGAGGGAGGATTAGGAAAATGAAGCCGCTGACGTCACTTCTTCTTCTTCTGCTTTGGGTTTACTGGCAGACCGCAAACAACTTCACGGCGTATACTGCCACCCGGAGTCCCCGGACGGAAGTCCCCGGAGTTTGGGACTGGCTTCAGTAGAAGTACTGAAGCCTTCAGAGTAAATCGTCAGAACGCCGACACCTCCTCATCTCCACCGCTCCCATGTTTTATTTTGTGTTGCCATAAGTTAGTCTCTCTGCGTTTCTGCGCTGGGCTAATGCTAATGCTAATCATGCTAATGCGAGGATAATAAAATGGCGGCTTCACAAAACTTTTTGGGAGTTTTACAGGGCGTGGTTTGCATTCAGACATAGGAACCTTTTTCTCCCACAAAAGTCCCTGCTCTCTAGCAGGGACGGAAAAGGGGGTAAAAAGGTTCTCATGAACTCATTTTTGTTCCGGATTTTTTTGGTGTGAACGCAACATTTCGTAACTATATCGGAACTAAAGTGGGAAAAGTACTGTGGTGTGAACGCGCCTTATGTAGCCATTTTGTGTCTCTTTGTTGTTCTTTAGTCACTGTGTAGTCATTTCGAGTCTCTTTGTAGACCTTATGAGCCTCTCTGAAATTAGGTTGAGTCTCTTTGTAGTCCTTATGAGCCTCTTTGAAATTAGGTTGAGTCTCTTTGTAGTCCTTATGCGTCTCTTTGAAATTAGGTTGAGTCTCTTTGTAGTCCTTATGAGCCTCTTTGAAATTAGGTTGAGTCTCTTTGTAGTCCTTATGAGCCTCTTTGAAATTAGGTTGAGTCTCTTTGTAGTCCTTATGCGTCTCTTTTTCAACGTTTTGTTTCTTTTTTTACAATAACTTCAACTATTTTTTGAAGTTAACAATTGCAAGGTGGTAATTCTCTATTTTTTGTTAGGTATCTATAGTTTGAAGAATGTCCAGAACAGCAACAAAAAGACCATTGAAATAAAAGGATGAAGGACTGGACGAGGGAGGATGTGATTTAAAGTGAGTAATAGAGAAAGTTCAAGACCAGAAAAAATACCTTCTGTGAGAAAATGGCGATGAATTAAGTATATTGAGTCTTCACACGCCAGAAAATGTTGAGTCTCCTTGTAGTTATTTTGAGTCTCTTTGTATGAGTCTCTTTTTAGACGTTTTGATTCTCTTTGTACTAATTTTGAGGAAAAATTGAACAATCTTTGGAGTGCAAGGTGATAATTCTAGTTTTTGTTAGGTTTCTATAGTTTGAAAGCTGTCCAGAACAGCAAACTAAATTGACTGGAAGAGGGAGAATGTGACTTGATAGTTTGAAAACTGTCCAGAACAGCATGAAAAGGATGAAGGACTGGAAGAGGGAGGATGTGATTTAAAGCGAGTGATAGAGAAAGTTCATGACCAGAAAAAAGACCTTCTGAGAGAAAATGGCGATTAATAAAGTTGATTGAGTCTTCACACGCCAGCAGGCAGCTGAAGCCAGTTTCAGAAAGTCTCTGAAGCAGCAAGTGGACGCACAGCAGAGGAAGAAGAAGAAGAAGAAGAGGAGGAGGAGGAGGAGGAGGGTGACATCATTTGTGAAACTGTCAGACCGATCACATCACCAAACTCCCTGACCTTTGGGAGCCAGCCTTAAAGAGTTTCCCCTCCTCTCCGTGTGACGGACGGCTGTCTAATCTGCTCTCGGATGACTCGCTCAGCCTCAGGTAGCTGGCCTCAGATCAGACCTTTCTCATCTGTTGGCTGATTCCTGCCTGATTTCTTTCATTTATACTCTGTAATATGTTCAGAGGTGGCAAAAGTCCACACATCCTTTACTCAAGTAGAAGTACAGATACTCATGTTTAAAAATACTCTGGTGAAAGTAGAAGTACTGACTAAACTTCTTTACTCAAGTCAAAGTAAAGAGGCTTTGAAATGTACTTCAGTAAAAAGTACCCATAACTAGCAGCTGTTTTAAAGAGTACCTGACCTCCCTTTATATTAATAGAACAATAATGTCATTGTTAGCTAATGAATGTTTCCATGCTGAACAACGGCAACTAGGGCTGTACCCGAATATTTGACTATTCGAATATTCGTTCGTTGGCCAACTGTTCGGGTTTCAATTTAATTATTCGGATATTCGTTTTTTTTGTTTTTTTCCAAT